TTTTCCTTAAAAACAATTAATTTTAATTTTTTTTTTGAATTTTTTTATTTCAATTCAGTCCTTTGTCCCGCCCGCAGTTTTGCTCTCGCATTCAGATATTCCGGATTGACGTACTGCTTGTCGTCATCGTTATTTTCCTGATTTTGAAGGCGGGCTTGTGCATGCTTTTGAGCTCGTTCCATTATCACACGATTGAGTTCACTTTTAAGGCCGTAGGTGGGTGAGGGAATCCAAGTAAATATTCTTTAAAAATATTGAAGACCTTAGATAGTATCCTTTAAAAAAATCCACATAAATATCCTTTCAAAATATGGAAGACCTAAGATAATATTCCTTTAAAACGACTGGGAAGACGACTGAGAAAATATTCTTTAAGAAATTTGCGCCTATGGATGACGTCTGAGAAAATATTTCTTAAAAAATTCACGCCTATGGAAGAGACTGAGAAAATATTCTTTAAAACATCCACACCTATGGAAGAGCCTGAGAAAATATTAAAAAAATCCACGCCTACACAGAAAAAATAATTCGTATATTTTATGAACGGTTTCTGCATTTTATGTATGTAATTCATAAAACTTTAAATACTCGTCTCTCTATCTTTCAGAGAGAGAGCTAAAAAAACAACTTTGGAGTTGTGCTTGGTCGTGGTGGGGACTTTTTATGGCACAGACACTATTTGTCGCTTTGATATATCTATTTTGATTTTATTTTCTTATTGTATTGTCCCGATTTGTCTTATTTTCTTGTTTTGCGCTTTTATAACAATACTATACAACTAAACTTTCAATTGAGTTTTGTTGCTCGTATCAACACTTTTTTGAAATATTGTATTTGACATTTATATCGAAATAATTTGGAAAATGCATATGCGAATTTTATAACACCAAGGCAAATGTCGCCAACAATGTCTGAAATAAATTGAATGCAAAACTAGCCAGAATCGAGAGTGGAAAGACCACGGTCTTAAACAAGAAAAACATTTACAAAACTAACACCCGCCAAGTGAGGGGGAGGGGGGATAGTTGTGATACTAATGATATGTTTACATTGTTTTTTGGACAAATGTTGGCTTTCTCATAATTATAAGAATTTTTTACTTCTATTCATAAATAGATAAATGGAAAAGATATCCTATGAATGCTGTTATGCAAATATTCATTAACATTTTTTTCTGATGACCCTGAGAAAATATTGTTTAAAAATCACCTGAAAAATGTACCCTGACCCTGAAAAATGAACCCTAAATTTTGCACAGTGCAGATATTAGAATTCATAAAGCCGTGTGTTAAGTTTTCTTCAAAACCTCGGCATTCACATAAACACATGAGGATAACACAAAATAGAAGTGGCAGGAGATAATGTTTGAAGAAGAATATAGCAACACTGAATACGCCAGAACCCCTTTCATTGCTTAAAATTCAACGAGACGTTGTTTCTAGACAACGGTAGATGGCAGCCCCTTCACGTAATACAGGCCACAGCAGACCAATAAAGAACTATGACTAATCTAGTAAGATGGCGATGTTTTATGAATATCCTATGCTCCCAAGAGAACTAACAGGAAAAAATATAACTTCGATCGATTTCATAAAACGACTGAGTTAGGTTTGGAATGACGTGCGCCATCTTTGCTTTAAATCGGTTCAAATTTAGATTTCGTCCGATATTATGTAAATGGCGATTAAATACACTAATACATTGAACAGGCCAATTGTACGACAGTTTGCATGGGCTAGTGTCTTGAGACTGGAATGAAGATCACATTTGTCTAGAACGACATTTTCCAAATGTGCTTCAAGTGGGTTCAAATTTTATTATTTTATGTTCATGATTTTTTCATCACCTCTTGTATATTCTCACTGTGGTTTAGGGTATTATATAGTCGGCTCAGTCCAGTCATTGTTTCAATCCACCATAAAGAGGAATGTATATTAAAGTTATCGTTCGAATTAAACGTCGATTTAGTGATGTTATGATATTCGGTATTTTGCGCACACTTTTCAAATGGCTGTAAAATGGTATTAGCGGTTCTCTTCTTTCTAACAAAAAACATTTATAATAGTAGACTATTTGAGGTAATTTGAGAAAAATGTTCAATCTAGTTGGACTTTATTTCAGATATAGATTTCTAATTTTTAACAGAAAATCAGCCAACCAAAAATAATCGGTCCACGTTTTGATGCCAAATTTTCGATATTTAGAATTTTTTCGGGTTCTCATTGGGTATCAAACCTGCCAAATTTTCGATATTCAGACATTTTTTCAACTAAGTACCTCTAATCGTATATTTCGGGTTCTCATTGGGTATCAAACCAAAATGTATAAATATCGATCGATCTTTGGGTATAGACCTCATATAAAGTGTCAGCTCCTTTAAGGGAACCACCCCCCAACCCCATTCTCGATTTTATTTCTTTTTTTATTTTCAATGGACTGGTAAATCAATACCGTAGGTTTGTAACTTTGCAGATATATATTCGTAGATTTAAAGAAAATGAAAAATAATTTACACATTTTTTTATTGTTTTGTTCTTGTTTTATTGGTTTAAAGACATGATAACTCCTCACTGCAACATCGGAATCCGAAAATTCCAACGGAGTTAGGAAGGCTCTCGTATTATTGACTTCGCTCAAAAATCAACAAAACGGCGGACCTTTGAAAATTTATTTTTGGAAAATAGCGATTTTTACCAAAAAACAAGCAACAAAATAAGGAGGATCTTGACCGATTGAATTTATCCTAGTTCATACGATAGCTATACACTCACAGAGAAACGTTTGAGAAGCCCTCATGCCGTCACTTGATGCTAGCACAATACATCGGCTATATCTTCAAAAGTTGGTGAGATTTTCACTTGAAATTTCATAGGGACTTCAATAATGTCCCTATGAAATTAGTGTATATTTCAATTAAGGGAACCCCACCCATTCTCGATTTTATTTTTTCAAGATTTTCAATGGGCTGGTAAATCAATACCAATGCTTGTTAAGGTTTGTAACTTTGCACATATATATTTGAAGATTTAAAAGAGAAGAAAAATAATTTACAAAAAAATTTTGTTATTGTTTTGTTGTTGTTTTTTGTAATTAAAGAAAAGTCCTTATTTTTGATGGCGGGCATGATAACTCCTCACTGCAACATCGGAATCCGAAAATTCCAACGGTGTTAGAAAGAGTACATGTCTGGCTCCCGTATGAACTAGGATTATTGACTTCGCTCTAAAATTAACAAAATGGTGGACCTTTGAAAAAATATTTTTGGAAAATCGCCGATTTTTTACCAAAAACCAAGTTAAAAAATAAGGAAGATCTTCACCGATTGGCTTTATCCTAGTTCATACGAGAGCTATACACTCCCAGAGAAACGTTGCAAAATTTGGAACCGATTGGATTATTAGTTTTTGAGTTATCGTGCCCGCGATTCGCAAAAAAATGTTTAGAGAAAAACGCGTTTAAAGTTTGAGAAGCCCTTCAGCCGTCACTTGATGCTGGCACAATAAATCGGCTATATCTTCAAGAGTTCTTGAGATTTTGACTTGAAATTTTGTAGAGACATTCTTTAATCAGAGTAGATTCGAATTATATCAACAAAAATTTTGACCCCGAGAATGGGGGGGGGTCCCCTTAAATCAAAATACAAATCCCCCTGGTATCTCCCCCACAAAAGCCAGGATTATTTGGTACTACATTCGATGTGCCATAGACTGAGGTATATGTGACACTTTTCGACACAGGCTCATATAATTGGATTTTAAATGAATTTTCCCACCGAAGTGCCTGTAGTTTGTTATTCAGAATTAATTGAAGGATTGATACATCTTTGCAGAAAATTAAAAATACCCCCCTGGGTTGCCAGATTCCGATACATAAAAAGCTTGACATTAAAAGCATACCCTGGGACTTTGAAAATACATATCGACGCCTCCGAACCATAGTATGCTAAGTCGACTTAGCATGTTTTAAAGTTCTTTACGTTTTTAGATACTGCGGTCCTTAATTTAAATTCTCTGAAATTTTGGTAATCATCGGCCAATCCAAACCAAAATTATAAGCAAAAATGTACTTAGCATGGCACGTAAGATTCAAGAAACTTCCATACTTTGAAAGCTTCTACTGAAAAACTCACTTTTCAGACTTAGCATACTATTCTTCGGAGGCGTCGATATGTGCAAAGTTACAAACCTTAACAAGCATTGGTATTCATATACCAGTCCATTTAAAATCTTAAAACAAAAAATCGAGAATGGGGGTCCCTTAAATGAAATATGAACAAAAGAATGGGTACGGGATTCATCCAGTCGAGATATCGATTTTGAATCAATATTTTTTTGGTTGTTTAAAACTCGTGGGTCATTCAAACACGTAGAACCAAACCGAGTTTTGTTTGTTCTACATAAAAATTAAATCCCAGGTTATTCTCAAATTTCCAATCTTCTGGAACTGAGAAAGTTTTTCTATGCCAGCAAATCTATTCTACAGAATCAAAAAGTTTTTCTAAAAAGTAAAAGCTAACTTAGAAAAAGTATTTTCTCTAGAAAAATTCAGAACTCTCGAGTTGGGGGGTTTCCAATTAAAAAATTCAATCCTCGAGAATTGAGATATTATTTTATAATAAAAATAATCTGTGATCAGTTAACTGGAATTTGTTGACATAAAATTTATTTTCAAACCAGTGAGCGGAGCAGTATAGTCGGACGGGGCCGACCATACGATACCCTACACAACTACCACGGAACTCAAATTGTCGTGGATGTTTATTTCGAGCCTGGGCAATATTTCGTGATATTTGCACCCTCTTGCCCGATTAGAGGTAAACAGCACCTCTTCCTCACACTGACATATTTTCCGAATATTACGAGTATTCAGTACAGCTATTGTCCAGATTCCCTTCACCGTGGGTTGTGTTGTGATGTTCGGCTTTCATTTGTGGTCTATAGATCGACTCGAAAATAACACCAAAAATTAAGTTTTCGCTCCACTTCATTCCAAAATTATTGTCTGATCATCACCGAAAATTATAGGCGTTATTCTTGACCATAACTGGAACCTCTTGGAACATTTCAAAGCGATCAGCGCTATAGTTCCGCTCTCTAGAGTGATAATGGCTTACTAAATAATATACGAATACGGAGATATCTGTAAATATTTAGGTGTAACTCCCACATCCGACCACATACAACAATATAATTGGTATTAATTTAAAGGTCAACGACTCCTCTTGGATATAATATAAACTTCTCGGGTCTATGTCCTTCAGGGGTAAATATATACGCTATATAATACAAATTTTGTAATTTTTCACACAAAAGTCAGGGTCCATTTGACCCGCTAAATATTGACCGATCTTTATAAAAACAGGCATGCTTATTCTTTGGCCCGATCCCCTTCTCCATGGAAAATTTCACGATGTTCGGGCCATTATTGCGGCCTCTGGAGCGACCAGAAAAACCGACAAAAATTTAGTATTTGGTCCATTTCATCCCCTAAATATTAACCGATCTTTTCCAAAAACAATAGGGGTCTTCATTGGCCAGAACCCAACCTACATGCAAAATTTCGTGAAGATTGGTCCATAACTGTGGCCTGTATCGTGTTTACAAATTATAATGGACAGGCGGACGGACGGACACACATGTCTCTATCGACTCAGCTAGTCGAGATATGACGATCGGTATACTTAAAGGTGGGTCTATGAGCAATATTTCGCGGCGTTACAAACATTTGGGGCTGCACAAAGCTATAATACCCTGACAACATAGTTGTGTAGGGTATAAATACTTAGGTTTAATACCAAATGTGAATGCTCGACTTTTGAATAATAGAATTATAGTACGTTTACATTTAACCGGATTTCGTTAACCCAGTGGGTTTCAATTGTCAATTCCTTTGCATATATGTCAAATAAATCCTCATAAAGTAGGTTAACCTGGTGAAAAAGTTCTAGTGTACATGCCGTTTTAAATTTCTCAATAAGTTTTAATTTATAAATTACGTGTTTTCGGAAGAATTCAAAATATTTCAAAATTTCCACTAACCACAATCAATCAGCCATTTTCAATTTTTTTCAAATATTCTGTTATTTTTTATTTTTTTGTACTTACATTTTTGTATTAAATTTTAATTCTCGATGCAGCTGTTTGCGATCCGTTGACGTCAGACAGGGATTTATTAATTTCTTTGGTAATATCAGGCCATTGGCGTCTGTTTGTACTCCCGGTGGTGGAGGTGGTGGTGGCGTTGGCATCATCATTGTGGCTAATTTCTCTTTGATATCACAACCGTTTCCAAGCTCGTCAACTTCGATTCTGCTATGATTTTTAAAATCGCCACTTGCTAAACCGTCGACAATGTCTATCGGCGCTGATGATGTTGATGTCGAAGATGCCGATGCTGATGATGTCTGTTGGTCACAATCTGCAAAAAAGAAAAGAAACCGATCAGTAAAAAAAGAACGAAATACGATACAAACAATAGATGGTTAACAGAGGCAGACAACAAAAAAAGAGGGGGAAAAACATTATCAGAATTGAAAAAATAAATCAGTCAGTCAGTTACAGAAGATAAGCCATACGAAAGAAAAACAAACAGATATATTTTTTATAAATATAATAATATTTTTTTTGTCGAAATGTGCTTAACCCGCTCTGTATACAAAATATAGAACTGGATAATTTATGGCAAATGATCGTTTCGTAGAATTCCCAATAGAAAAAAAAATAAAAAAAAAAACTGTAAATAAAGACAACATCCCATGTGGAGATCAATGGCATTTTGATGTGCGAAGACGACTCTGAAGCCATTGGCTAGAACGTAACGATGGATGCTATGAATGGACTCGATGACTTAGTATTGACTTCAGCCAGTCAATAACGGAAATTTTGAAAACAAGTCAATAGAATCATTTATTATATTTATAACCATCTAATATGCCAAACATTTCTTGTTATCTAAATGATTTATGGCTGCATTAAGGAACGGTATTAAGAAGGTGGTTAATGAAATTCAGATAAAGTGGCTTAGGAATAGAGCAACACTTTTACAGAAGTAAATCATTGATGAAAAATGATCTACAACAAATTTTTAAATTTAAAAATATTTTTTGAAGGCCTTACAAGAGGCATGAATTTTTATACCCTACACAACTAGGTTGTCGGGATATTATAGCTTTGCGCAGCCCCGAAAGTTTGTAACGCAGCGAAATATTAGTCCTAGACCCACCTTTAAGCATACCGATCATCATATCTCGACTAGCTGAATCGATCTAGACATGTGTGTACGTCCGTCCGTCTGTCCATTATAATTTGTAAACACGATACAGGCCACAGTTATGGACCAATCTTCACGAAATTTTGCATGTAGGAAGGGTTCTGGCCAATAAAGACCCCTATTGGTAAATATCGGTTAATATTTAGGGGATGAAATGGGCAAAACTTTATTTTTGTCTGATTCTCTGGTCGCTCCAGAGGCCGCAATTATTGTCCGAACATCGCGAAATTTTACATTGAGAAGGGGATCGAGCCAAGGAATAAGCATGCATGTTTTCATAAAGATCGGTCAATATTTAGCGGGTCAAATGGACCCTGACTTTTGTGTGAAAATGACAAAATATTTATTCTATAGCGTATATATTTACTCCTGAAGGACATAGACCCGAGAAGTTGATAGTATATCCAAGAGGAGTGGTTAGCCTTTAAATTGATGCCAAATATATTGTCGTATGTACTCGGATGTGGGAGTTACACGTAAATATTTTCAGGAGCTTACATATTCCGATATTACCACACTAGAGGGTGGAAATATAGCGCTGATCGCCTTGAAATGTTCCATGAGGTTTCAGCCTTGGTCGAGAACAAGACAAGAAGTGGACCGAATACATAATTTGTGTTTTTATACCCCTCACCACTCTGTCTGTCCGTCCGTCTGTCTGTCCATGTTAAATTGTAAACAAAGTACAGGTCGCATTTATAATCCAAATTGGATGAAATTTGACATAGGTCACTTATTCGGCCCAAGGACGAACCCTATTGAAATTGGGAAAAATCGGTTCAGATTTAGATATAGTTCCTATATATATTTTTGTCCGATTTAAGGTAAATGGGGCACCAAAGTCCCTATATATCTTTCGATTTGCACGAAATTTGGTACAGCGTAATGAATTAGGTCTAGACTGATGTGTGCTAAGTTTCGTAAAAATCGGTTCAGATTTAGATATAGCTCCCATATATATTTTCGTCCGAATTAAGGTAAATGGTGCACCAAAGTCCCTAAATATCCTTCGATTTGCACGAAATTTGGCACGGGGTATTGAATTAAGCCTGGAATGATGTGTGCAAAGTTTCGTAAAAATCGATTTAGATTTAGATATAGCTCCCATATATATATATATATATATATATATATATATATTCGTCCGATTTAAGGTAAATTGTGCACCAAAGTGTCTAAATATATTTCGATATGCACGAAATTTGGCACGGTGTACTGAATTATGTCTAGAATGATGTATGCTAAGTTTCGTGAGAATCGGTTCAAATTTAGATAAAGCTTACGTATATAGTTTCGCCCGATTTTAGGTAAATAGTCCACTAAAGTCCCTGGAAATCCTTTGATTTGCACAAGATTTGGCATAGCGTACTGAATTATGTCTAGAATGATGTATGCTAAGTTTCGTGAGAATCGGTTCAGATTTAGATATAGCTTCCATATATAGTTTCACCCGATTTTAGGTAAATAGTCCACTAAAGTCCCTGGAAATCCTTTGATTTGCACGAGTTTTGGCATAGCGTACTGAATTATGTCTAGAATGATGTCTGCAAAGTTTTGTGAGAATCGGTTCAGATTTAGATTTAGCTCCCATATATAGTTTCGCCCGATTTTAGGTAAATAGTCCACTAAACTCCCTGAAAGTCCTTTGATTTGCACGAAATTTTGCATAGGGTACTGAATCAATTCTAGAATGATGTGTGCAAAGTTTCGTGAAAATAAATATTAGTTATATTCGGAAAATATGTCAGTGTAAGGAAGTGATCCCCTTGACCTCTAATCGGACAAGAGTGTGCAACTATCACGAAATATTGCCCAGGGTCGGAATAAAAAAAAATCGGCAGAAAGTTAGAGTTCCGTGGTAGTTGTGTAGGGTATCGTATGGTCAGCCCGTCCGACTATACTGCTCTGCTCACTGGTTTCTATCAACAGGAGTGGATTTTTTTTAAATATTTTTGAAGAACTATAAACTAGCGTGGATTTTTAAAATATCGGTGGTAGAATATTTATTTATTTACATTTTACAGTTTGAAATGGTAGTGAACTTCCATATGCCTTTTCAAATTTTTACAAATTACCCACATTTCGAATCACTTCCCAATAACATAAAATTCAAATTACCATAATCTGGTGACAGGGAAGTAATGAAAAGCCCCACCTCTATCCCTCCACTTTTGTTAATCGCTTTCAATATATGTACGAAATTATTTAAAACACTTAATCATGATTAAGATTATTGTCGTAATATTACATTGGATATTATCGTTGTTGCTGTTGTTGTCGTCGTTATTGTAATTGTTATTGGAGAGTATTAATTCGGCTACTGTAATTCCTCGGCATTTTTCTTTTGAATGACTCCGCAGCTGATTTACGATTATTATCTGGGCTGTACCCAGTCATCCTCCGTCTTATTGAAAGTGAAATTAACAGAGAAGTACCCGCAGCCGCAGCAACCACAGCATTCAACTGCCTGTGTGTATGTCTGCCTGTCAATCAATGAGATACCATCAGCTAAAGTTTTTAAGAGGAAGGAAATGTTCATTTCGATGTTGTTGTTGTTGCGGCTGCTCTTTTCTGCTTTAATGATGGAAAATTATGTGGTAATTGATCGCACGCTAGTCAGACTGTGTTTCCATGGAAATCTGTGTAGATTGTGTAAAAATGTGATAAACAGGGAAAATATTTAACAAAATCCACCTTTAAAATTTTTTTTTCAAAAAATCTACCTTTAATTTTTTTTAAACCACGCTTGTTGATAGACCTTTAAAAATATTTTTTAAAATTACGCCTCTTGTAAACCTTAACTTATATCTCATTCCCAATTTTCTATAGAGAAAAAATGTCCACTGACATTTTTTCTCTGGAAAAATATTCACCACTGGCATTTTTCTATAGAAAAATGTTCACCACTGACATTTTTCTATAGAAAAATATTCATCACGGACATTTTTCTATAGAAAAATATTCACCGCTTTTTCTATAGGATAATATTTATCACTGATATTTTTCTATAGAAAAATATTCACCAATCACAGTTTACTATAAAAAATATTTACCTCAGACATTTTTCTGTAGAAAAATATTCACCACTGACATTTTTCTATAGAAAAATATTCACCACTGATGTTTTTCCATAGAAAAAAATACACCACGGACATTTTTTCTATAGAAAAATATTCACCACGGACATTTTTCTATAGAAAAATATTCACCGATCACAGTTTACTATAAAAAATATTTACCTCAGACATTTTTTCTATAGAAAAATATTCACCACGCCCTTTTTGCTATAGACAAATATTCTATAGGAAAACTGACATTTTTCTCTAGAAAAATATTCACCACTGACATTTTTCTATAGAAAAATATTCACCACTGACATTTTTCTGTAGAAAAATATTCACCACTCACAGTTTACTATAAAAAATATTTACCTCAGACATTTTTACTATAGAAACATATTCACCACAGACATTTTTCTATAGAAAAATATTCAGCACTGACATTTTTCTATAGAAAAATATTCAGCACTGACATTTTTCTATAGAAAAATATTCAGCACTGACATTTTTCTATAGAATAATATTCACCACTGACATTTTCCATAGAAAAATATTCACCACTGACATTTTTCTATAGAAAAGTGTTCACCACTGACATTTTTCTATAGAAAAATATTCATCACGGACATTTTTCTATAGAAAAATATTCACCGCTTTTTCTATAGGATAATATATTTTAATGATATTTTTCTATAGAAAAATATTCACCAATCACAGTTTACTATAAAAAATATTTACCTCAGACATTTTTCTGTAGAAAAATATTCACCACTGACATTTTTCTATAGAAAAATATTCACCACTGATGTTTTTCCATAGAAAAAAATACACCACGGACATTTTTTCTATAGAAAAGTATTCACCACGGACATTTTTCTATAGAAAAGTATTCACCGATCACACTTACTATAAAAAATATTTACCTCAGACATTTTTTCTATAGAAAAATATTCACCACGGACATTTTTCTATAGAAAAATATTCACCACGCCCTTTTTGCTATAGACAAATATTCTATAGGAAAACTGACATTTTTCTCTAGAAAAATATTCACCACTGACATTTTTCTATAGAAAAATATTCACCACT